ATGAACGGCATCGCTTCGGCCCTGAGTCTATTTACAATATAGACGAAACTGGATTATCAACGGTGCAACGAACCCAGAAAGTGATTGCTCTCAGAGGCACTAAGCAAGTTGGGCAAGTAACGTCAGCTGAAAGAGGGACGCTTGTAACGGTTTGCTGCGGTATTAATGCATTGGGTAACTCAATACCACTATTTTATAATATAATAGAATATAATAAATTCATAATTATGAATAAGGAAAATGTAATGTCTACATTATTATTGCCGAAAAGCAGCTGAGATGTGACAGAAATTAAATAAAGTATCTTTTTTTCAGATACAATTATATATTTCAGTTTAACAGATGTTGAAATACAAATGTATTTAAAATTTTTCTTTGAAGGCTATGATTTATGTTTAATTAAAAGCAGATCAAAAATTTTATTACGGAAATTCAACTAAAGTATGTCTATATGTAAAAAAATTTACACGTCGTTAACCAAATGCAGAGATATATCAAAGACAGCCTCAACTTTCGATAAGGACACCAGAGGCTACCAGTCTGTCACGGGCCACAAGCTTCAATAAGACAAATGTCGGAATTTTTTTTGAAAATCTTAAAACTGTGTATGAACGGCATCGCTTCGGCCCTGAGTCTATTTACAATATAGACGAAACTGGATTATCAACGGTGCAACGAACCCAGAAAGTGATTGCTCTCAGAGGCACTAAGCAAGTTGGGCAAGTAACGTCAGCTGAAAGAGGGACGCTTGTAACGGTTTGCTGCGGTATTAATGCATTGGGTAACTCAATACCACTATTTTATAATATAATAGAATATAATAAATTCATAATTATGAATAAGGAAAATGTAATGTCTACATTATTATTGCCGAAAAGCAGCTGAGATGTGACAGAAATTAAATAAAGTATCTTTTTTTCAGATACAATTATATATTTCAGTTTAACAGATGTTGAAATACAAATGTATTTAAAATTTTTCTTTGAAGGCTATGATTTATGTTTAATTAAAAGCAGATCAAAAATTTTATTACGGAAATTCAACTAAAGTATGTCTATATGTAAAAAAATTTACACGTCGTTAACCAAATGCAGAGATATATCAAAAACAGATAGCAAGTTTTGCTACAGAATTACATTAATGTTTCTAATATGCAGCTAAATTTGACTATATATGTGACAACAAACATAATATCAATCATTTAACATATTGGAAGCAATTAATTAGTACCCAAAAACTTGCATAATAAACTGTATAGTATCTAATATAGTAAAAAATACAATATTGTGGAACATACATACATATTTTATTCTTTAATACAGTAATATTGTATTCTTTTCAATACATAATATTATTCTGACAAAACATATTTTACTATTTAATTAAATTTAGTATAATCGCACAAGCATACATGTCAACAATAATCAATTTAAACATAATCAAAAGGTCTTGATACAAAAGCATCATTTTGTTTCAAACCTGGTCAATGTGTAGAACTCAATCTGATAATGCCTCCTAAAAACCATGTCTTTTCTGCATAGACTCCTATTTAATGTCTCGAAGCACTATTTCAAATGATTGGTATGACACTGCTATTCAATTACTCTATGCTTAACAATTCACTCACTTTTTATCCTCTCACACAATGAATGTATATACATTCATGCTGCATAATTATATAATTTGAGACTCGATGATACATTTGAGTATGTCTCGACAGGAAAAGATATTATTGAGACTTCGAATATGGTTGATTTTATTCCTTATTTAATAAATGTTTGAGTGTAATGGGCTCAAATGTATCATCGAGTCTCAAATTATATAATTATGCAGCATGTTATTATAAAGTGACAAAACAGATTATCATCTCTTTCTTCTAGATAATGCAGCAGCCTGAATTTTTTGTTATGGTATATCAAATGTATGCTCAATTTTAATGTTTTCCATTACAATTTTTATGGATTTGTGTAAATATACCCAAATTGAATATTTTTTATATCATTAAGTTGTTCTTAGCGAGTAGACAGTATCCCATAGTTGGGTAAAATGCCACATCTGGCAACGTGTACAGAAGCAGGAAATCTAATACATACATTGATGATTTTTTATCATGACGAACTGTTTGAATCTGATATTAAACAAGATTTATAACATACATGAAAATATAAAAACACATGTAGAACTAGATATAGAACATTACTGCATTTTAATAGAATAATATCCTCTTCGGTTCATATATGATTTTTAATATCTTGCTGATTTAACTATTCGAATGTAGCAGCCATCGGGTGAACCAATCATATTTGTAAAGTCATTTTGGCAATGCCTAATTTCTCATTATTGTCTGGCCATTTTATGAATTTTAGAAACATATTTCACAGAAAAAATTCTTGGCACTATAACATGCAGAGTACTATAACTTATATCAAAGCGATCACTAAAATCTCGAGATAGATCTATAGCTGTCAGTTTGATGTCCCACAAACCTATGAAAATATTAGTACCAATCACATTTACTTATAATTAAAAATCATTTCCATATTGTGCTCAATTTTGTGTTAATATTTCTAAGAAAAAAATATACAACCATGTACAACTAGAATTTTTTTAAAACTAAATATTATGAAATTATCAAAGCGAGTTAGTTCGATAGATGTCTCTGCGCCCGCTAAGAGTGTCTTATCCCTGTTAACTTGATAGGATGTGGCTATGTACGGGAAAGTAGAGTCCAGGAGAGTCTATGTTATCTTGATTAATTGGCGATAAATATAATTTGTTTTTGATGTGTAATGTGAGAATAATAGTTTAAAGAAGCGGCTTAATAAGAATCAGTTATAATACAGTATTAGTGGAAGATATTGGTATTCTTCAGTTATAGTTTTAGTATAATTTGAGAGTGAGATTGAGTGATTCACATTATCCAGCGGGTTATATTATTTAGGATTTTCTTTTATCGTGCCACGATGCCACGAATTCGCAGAGGGGCAAGTAATTTTGGAAGACGTACACGGCAAGCTCGAGCAATCTATGAACGAAGATTGAATAGGACCCATGAACAACATATGATGGACAATATAAATTTGAGAGAGCAAGTAGCAAATACACGTGCCAATGAAAGTTTAGAGAGACGTACTCAACGACTGACAAATATGGCATTAAGAAATCGAGAGGTGCAACAAAGTGCGACCGCCGCCATTAGAGAAAATAATCAACGACGAGTTAATAATCACAGAGCATTGGTACGTGCATCACTTTTGCGCCTGGCGTTTAATTATGATCCTGAAATTGATTATTCATCACACTCTTTAATTACCATTGGTAATATGGACAAAGTATGTAAACATTGCCATGCTCTAAAATTCAGAGGAGAATCAGCAGGTTTATGTTGCGCATCAGGGAAAATTATATTGACAAAATTAACAACACCACCGGAACCTTTAAAAACTCTACTAGATGGAACAACGTCTCAATCAAAAATATTACTAAAAAAAATTCGCAAATTTAATTCATGTTTTCAGATGACGTCATTTGGTGCTACGAAAGTATTTGAAAATGAAGATGGTCGAAATTTCGAATCAACATTAGGATACAAGGTCAAGTTTACCACCAAATCGGTTCATTGTTTCCCATGCCTGATGTGAATCCGAAATTCTTACAGACTTATTTTATGGGAGATGATGAACGACAAACAAACATGCGTTGCGAATTTAATCACATACAGCTTATGGAGGAAAGAGATATTGTGAACTCTTTGGAAATATTTTTTAAAAACCATAACCAGTTATTGCATTTGTTTAAGACTCTTTCAAGTAGACTAGAAAACGATGATTACGCTATTATTATTAGAGCAGACAAAGTGCCGGTTGGAGAACATGCTGGCGCATATAATGTTCCAACAGTCAATGAAGTCGCGGTCGTAATAGCTGGTGATCTATGTGAGGGGCGTGATATACGTATACAACGGAGAGATATTACCATGCAGATAATACAGGACAGTCATCGTTCTTATGATGCTTTGCAGTATCCATTGATATTTTGGAAAGGTGAAGATGGGTACCATTTAAATATTAAACAAAGGGATCCAAATACAGGTAAAAATCTTATTTTTATAAAAAAAATCAAATAATAATAATTAAAATAACTTTATTATATTTTATTCCAGGTGCAGAACTTGCCAAAAAAGTAAGTGCCATGGACTTTTACTGCTACCGATTAATGATTCTAGCTAATGAAGAAAATAACATTCTTAAATGCAGGCAGCTATTCCATCAGTTTGTGGTCGACATGTATGTGAAAATTGAGAGTGAGAGATTGTGTTAAATATTCATATTAACAGTAGCGCCATCTAGTTCTTTACTATGTACTAAGTGAATATTTTTTAGGTTCTATATATTGGTACCATTGTAAAATTATTCTAGATCCTTTTTATATCCGTTTTTAGGATTCATTCTGATTTGAGCCTTGTGAGAATAAAGTAGTAAGTTTGATAGTAAATATGTGTTTCCTTTTTTAAGTGTTTGATATTTCTAAACCTTTTACATTGGTCCTTACCGACGGTGTTAAAATAAAAATAATCAGTGCCAAACTACAGTCCACATACCAGAAGAAAAAGGAGCCTTTCGCTATCATAAACAAAAACACACAGGCCGATTGCAGCAAACTGCCACGAGGACGACGCAGAGATTGGATAGCAAAACCACGAGGTATTTATAAACCATCTTGAGCATTAACTTGTGTATGTTTAATAATAGCCTAGGGGATAGGTAAAATAATATTCGGGTTATATAGCATCCTTAACACGCGGTCATAATTCGGGTATAAAGCACAGAATCAATCACAAGAGTACATTCAAGGTGATATTTATTTGGTTAGTTTTAATAGCAACCAATTGAAAATATTGGACGAAGTCTCTTACATTTATATTTAGCATAAAAAAGTGATATTTTGGGTCAGTTTATTGGCGACCAGTAAAAATAGCACAAAGAAGCTAATTTAACAAAATGGAGGTCGAAGCTTTGATGATTCAAAGGGCGGAATGCAAATCCTTAATGCTTATGATCGAAAAATATGCAATAAATTTCAAATCCGGCGATAGTATTCTAGGGCTAATTTATCGCAAAGAAAAGCTAATAGAGAATTTCAAACAGCTGGAGAAAATTAATAGAAAATTAAATTTGCTACAACCAGGACAACATGCCGAACAGTTCGAAATTTTGTTCAATTTGCATTTTGATGTTTTAGCTAGCATAGAGGAACATTTAGGGAACAAAGCAACACTACACTTAGGACATAAGTCTGACTTAGTCCCAGACATTGTTACAAGATTAGATGATGATTCTGATTATTCAGATACCGAGAGTATATTCGATGACACAGATTTTGAAAGTTCTGATTGTGAATCTTATGACTCTGAATATGAAGATGAACTGGAAGATGAGGTGGAATCTCTTAACAGTAGTAATATTTTATTTGAAGATGAGGTAGGATCTCTCCACAGTAGTAATGTTTCATGTGAAAAGGAAACAAACCCACAGATCACAGAATATTCAATGAGCAGCAGTTTTATGAAAAGAAACGAGCAGTCATCAGTTCTTGAATCTAAAATTGAAAAGATGTATGATTATTATAATGATACCGAAATTGATACACTTGAGGGTGAAAAAATTGTAGAAAATCTATGTAATGCAGATGTTTTATTTCAGTATGCAAAAGAATTGGAACTGAGTCAAATTAAAACCAAAACAACTTCGAACAATGAGCAAGGATCATCACTTGACTTTGAAGATTTGAAAGTTAAAATAGTTTCGCCCTTAATTCTTTTTGTTGATACAGGAGGACTCCTACGAGTAGGTGGGAGACTAGGCCAATCACTGATATCATACTCGCAAAGCGATCAAGATTTTCAAAGAATTATATGGAGGAAGTCACCACAGGAGGATATACAACATTACAAACTCACTACAGTCACTTATGGTACTTCATCAGCTCCATACCTAGCAATTCACTGTTTAAACCAACTAGCAGAAGATGAAAATCTACCAATAGCAGCCGAAACTGTGAAGAAAGATTGTTATGTTGACGATGTCATAAGTGGGGCCAACACAAAACTAGAGGTACTCGATAAGGCAAAGCAACTTACAGAACTACTAAGCAGAGGCGGTTTCAATCTCCACAAATGGGCCAGCAACTGCAAAGAATTACTTGAAATGCTTTCACAACAAAAAGGAAAATGCAATGAGACATTCTTTTCAGATGGTTTAGGGGTTGTTAAAGCTCTTGGCTTAATATGGAAGCCAGATGAAGATGTATTTAAAATAACAACACCAGAACAATTGTCATCAGTTTATACTAAAAGAAATATTTTATCATCCATTGCACAAATATTCGATCCATTGGGATTAATTGCACCCATTGTGGTGAGAGCTAAAATGATAATGCAAAATATTTGGAAAGAAAAGACAGAATGGGACGATAAGGTCTCTACAGAAGTCGTTGAACAATGGAAATCATTTCATCAAGAATTACCTATATTAAATGAACTATATATTCCAAGATATATTTTGAATATAAAAGGAGAGTTAAAAGATTTACAGTGCCATGGGTTTGCGGATGCTTCGATGGCAGCATATGGGGCATGTATATATGTGAGAAGTACGTACCCTGATAAGACTCTTGTGAATTTACTATGTGCTAAATCTAAGGTAGCACCAATCAAAAACAGCACTTTACCACGACTAGAATTATGCGCAGCAGTGTTATTAGCAAGACTCTATAAACATGTATGTGATGTAATAAACATTAAATTCACTAGCTCGCATCTATGGAGTGACTCTACAATAGTGCTGGCATGGTTAAACACCGACAGCAGTAACTTGAAAATGTTCGTAGGAAACAGGGTGGCTGAAATCCAAGAGATCACATCAGGAGCAAAGTGGAATCATGTGGCATCTCCAGATAATCCGGCAGATTTAGTATCTAGAGGAATGACGGTTCAGGAGATCACACAATCCAAATTATGGTGGAATGGGCCCTCATGGCTCTCACTACAAGATAGTAATTGGCCAGTAACGGAAGTAGTAAAAACATCTCCAATTCCAGAGCAAAAGGCAGTACTTCACATTAATACATGCACAACTAACCCAGAATTTGCAACAATATACACAAAATTTTCTAAATTTCATAAACTAATGCGTGTTGTAGCTTATTGCCTCAGAATAAGAAAGAAATATAAAAGACTGCGTTCCCTGGATAATATTACAGCACTAACTGTTGCAGAGTTAGAAAACGCTCAGCAGATAATAATTAGAGAAACACAACAGGAAGTTTACAGGAGCGTCGTTGAAGAACTAAGGAGCAAGGGTAGCTCAGAGTTTAAGACAGCTCAAGAGCTAAAACCATTAAATCCATTTGTTGATGCGGAAGGACTTCTGCGAGTAGGTGGTAGATTGGAGAACTCACAGTTACCTTACTCACAAAAACATCCAATAATTCTTCCAAAGAGACATTACATAACACGACTGCTGTTGCGACAGGAGCATGTAAGATTATTACATGCTGGTACTCAAGCCATCTTGATTAACATACGGCAAAAATACTGGCCTATAAATGGAAGAAACATCATCAAAGGAATAATCAAAGAGTGCACAATATGTAGGCGCTTTCAAGCAGCACAAAGTCAACAGCTAATGGGATCGTTACCTGCTGATCGAGTGACAAGTAAAAGACCATTTCTTGCTGTAGGTGTGGATTATGCTGGTCCCATTGAGTTGAGAGCAAGCCGACTGCGCAAAGCACCAAGAATAAAAGCGTACATAGTGGTATACATTTGCATGTCCACTAAAGCAGTACACTTAGACTTAGTCACGGAATTATCAACTGCAGCCTTTTTGGATTCATTGAAACGCTTCGTGTCACGAAGAGGTGTGTGCCAAACCATATACAGTGATAATGGAACCAACTTCGTAGGCGCCAGTAATGAATTAGATAGACTCTATAAGTATTTTAAAAATAATATTAATAAGAAAGAACTCATTGAGAGTATGTCAACCATTGGAATAACATGGAAATTTATACCGTCACATACACCCCATTTTGGAGGACTATGGGAACGGAGCATTAGAACAATGAAGCATTATTTAAATAGGGTTATTGGTTCAACCTGTTTAACTTATGAAGACTATTTAACTTTCTTGAATCAAGTAGAAGCCATAATGAATTCAAGACCCATTATCCCATTAAATGATGATAGTACCGATTCTGTGTTTTTAACCTCTAGTCACTTTCTTATAGGTGATATTATGACTGCTATTCCTGAACCCGTAGTAGATAGTACTGCCCTAAAAAATAAATTAAACATACATAGACAACTAAATGCGATGAGAGATAGGTTTTGGACCTTGTGGTCCACGGCATATTTAGCAGAACTACAGAAGCGGGCAAAATGGACAGCATCCTTGGACAACCTAGCAGTTGATATGGTAGTCCTAATAAAAGAGGACCATGTCGCACCATTACACTGGCCAGCAGGTCGGATAGTCAGCGTCACGAAGGGCAAAGATGGCAAGGTTCGGGTGGCCACTGTCAAAACCACTCAAGGATTATATGTGCGACCTATTGTGAAATTGATACCTCTAATTGATATAGACAATAATTAAGTGTGTGAATTTAGCTTAGAAATGAAATGAGATATTTAAGACTAATTTTTTAAAACCAATAAATAAATTTAACATTAGAATTAGGATAAGTTGACACAGTATTGAAGTTTAGTAAATTATGTCAATATAATAAAATATAAAATTCATATTATACTTAGCTGTCAAATGAAATACCTAGCACTAAGTTTGTATATATATCTTAGTCTAAATTAATGAAACTAAAAATGTCTTATTATAGTTATTTGCTTGTGACATTGTATAACTTGACATGTAACATGTAACATAATGTCATTCTTTGCGCCCGCAGGATGTTAAATATTCATATTAACAGTAGCGCCATCTAGTTCTTTACTATGTACTAAGTGAATATTTTTTAGGTTCTATATATTGGTACCATTGTAAAATTATTCTAGATCCTTTTTATATCCGTTTTTAGGATTCATTCTGATTTGAGCCTTGTGAGAATAAAGTAGTAAGTTTGATAGTAAATATGTGTTTCCTTTTTTAAGTGTTTGATATTTCTAAACCTTTTACAGATTGAGATTCATAAAGTTTAATCAAGCCAAACTCCGCGCTGAGGAATATATACATTTACGTGATGCAGTACTTGGTAATGTAGATGCAATGAATGATATTAGTCAGATTGGTACTGCATATATTCTTCCATCTTCTTACATTGGAAGTCCGCGACATATGCAGGAGTACATTCAAGATGCTATGGCTTATGTTCGTGCATATGGCAGACCAGATCTGTTCATTACCTTTACGTGTAATCCCAAATGGGATGAAATAAAAAAAATTGCTGATGCCGGGACAAACAACGATGGATAGGCATGATATAACTGCACGAGTTTTTAAACAGAAGTTGAAATCATTGATTAATTTGATAACGCATCATTCTGTTTTTGGTGAAACACGCTGCTGGTTATACTCAGTAGAATGGCAGAAAAGAAGTTTACCCCATGCACATATTTTGTTGTGGTTAATCAATAAGGTACGTTCTGTAGAGATTGACAATATTATCTCAGCAGAAATTCCTGATAAAAATGTTGATGAGGAATTGTTCGATATTATAACTACTAACATGATACATGGTCCATGCGGTACTCTCACCATTATGTCACCATGCATGGTGAATGGAAAATGTACAAAACATTTTCCAAAATCATTTCAAAACGATACTATCACCGACATTGATGGTTACCCCGCTTATCGGCGACGTGACGTTGACAATGGTGGACAATGTTTTGAATTGCGACTGTCGAATGGCGGGGTAATAGATGTTGATAATCGATGGGTAGTTCCTTATTCGCCTTTGCTATGCAAAACCTATAAAGCACATATAAATGTCGAACTGTGCAGCTCGGTGAAGTCGATAAAATACATATGCAAATATGTTCATAAAGGGAGCGACAAAGCGATATTTGCAATTAAAAGTATTAATGAGAATGATGAAATAACTCGATATCAAATGGGTAGATACGTCAGTAGCAATGAAGCTATCTGGCGTATTTTTGGTTTTCCCATACATGAAAGGAATCCATCTGTGGTACATTTAGCTGTGCATTTGGAGAACGGTCAGCGGGTATACTTTACAGAAAACAATATATTACAACAAGCTTTGACTGCTCCGAAGACTACTCTAACTGCATTTTTTAAACTTTGTAATAGATCAGATATTGCTGGAAGATTTGCTAAAACATTATTATATACAGATACACCTAAATATTTTACATGGGATAAAAAATTAAAAGATTGGGTACCTAGAAAACGAGGTATTCCTGTTTCAGGATTCGAAGGCATATATATGACAAACAATTTGGGTAGATTGTATACTGTTCATCCTAAGCAACGAGAATGCTTTTATTTACGTTTGTTGTTGATTAATGTTGTAGGACCAAGATCATTCCAAAATTTGAGGACAGTCAATGGAATTTTATATGAAACTTTTTATGATGCGTGCCGTGAGTTGCACTTATTGGAGAATGATAATCAATGGGACATGACTCTTGCAGATGCAGCACTGATTTCATCTGCACATCAAATTCGACAATTATTTGCAATAATATTAACAACATGTTTTCCATCAGATGCATCTGCACTGTGGAATACACATAAAGACCCAATGAGTGAGGATATTTTGCATCGGTATAAAATTAATAATCAAGATTATAATCATGAATTTTCAGAACAAATATATAACGAAGCCTTAATAATGATTGAAGATATTTGTATCCAAATTTCAAACATGTCGTTAATTCAATTTGGCATGTCAGCACCGAGCCGAGCAGCAGTAGATATCATAAACAGCGATGTTCAACGTGAACACCAGTTTGATAAAACTGCTCTAGCTACTTTTGTTGCTAATAATGAAATATTGCTTACTGCCGAGCAACAAAGTGTATATGATCAAATCAATACGTCAATTGAAGCACAACAGGGCGGATTCTTTTTTTTGGACGCACCCGGAGGCACTGGCAAAACATTTATTATTTCACTGATTCTTGCGCGTGTGCGATCGCAAAATAATATTGCGTTGGCAATAGCTTCATCAGGAATTGCAGCGACATTACTTGAAGGAGGACGAACTGCGCATTCGGCATTTAAGTTACCTTTAAATGTTCATGCAAACCCAGAAGCAATGTGCAACATAAAGAAGAAATCAGGAATGGCGATATAATAAATTCAAATCTATTCTATATATATATATATATATATATATATATATATATATATATATATATATATATATATATATATATATAGCAGACTCACCATAGGCTTTTTGTAACATTTCACACACTTTGTTACACTTTATTTCATTTTTTACGCAAAATTTAATACAAATTCTTTGACTTTTCAATTCTTCCATTGTAAAAATCGCCGAGCTCAGAAAAACACGTCGAACCTTAGCGACTACCACAGACAAAGTAAACAGTGAATATAGCTGAAAATTTCATCATACTTTAGGGGCATGTATACCAACACAATAAAAAAAAAATTTTGACAATCAGACACTCCAGACCCGCGAAATTTAAAAGTTCCGGGTACTTTTTGAACACACCTCGTATGTATATATATATATATATATATATATATATATATATATATACTAGCTGACCCGGCAAACGCTGTTTTGCCATCAAAAATATTTTTCCGCATTGCAAAAGTTCTTATAATATGCATGATATATTAATAATAATGTTATATTTTTATTACACGAATTTCTTTACATTTTGATAATTAATTCGAACGCATCATAGTGCTTTGTTTATTTTAATTTTATTTATGTCAAATAGTGAAATATTTTTAATCAATGAATAAATTAGATTTTAGTCTGAATCAGCGCAGTACTATTCTCTAAATATATAATTTTTATATAAATATCAGATTTTTTACTTTTGCATTTAATTTAAAAATATTGAATGTCAATTTCATATATCCAATATGCACTAAATTTTTAAATGCCAAAATATTTCCTTTTTGGTTCGAAATTTAATATAATATGATATAATTTATATCTATAATTTGATTGCCAATATTGCCTATAACATAACTTGGAATAATTAATTTATTTGTATCTTATTGAAGTCGTTAAAAATTCATTTAATTTGTTTATGATTAATGTTAAATTCAATATGTCGCTTTTTTATTGTGATCTATAATGTTTTAGTCACTTATCATATAAATTTTCGACTGCAAATTGATATTCATACTATTCCTGAAACTAACATGGATAAAGTTCTGAGAAATCCGAGTCCAAATCTATAAAATGTTTGATTTTTGGCACTTTTATTAATTTTTTATCAATTTTTGTACTGTAAAATAATGGATGATTATTTATCAAAATTGTAATATTTAGACTATAATTTTAGATATATACTTTTTACTTTGGCATTGAATTATTTTCATTAAAATCAAGTGAAACATAAATATATTTATTTGATATTTATATAAAACATATAATTAAAATATGCATTAAAATCATATTGTCTATAAATAATATGTCATTTTATAAACAGTATTTATTACTTTGGTGCTTGATATGGGTATGAATTTGTAATAAAATATATTCTTTCTGACAAATAGTTAAAAACTTGTTATAATTTTCAAAATTATTTGACATTTCATACTTCAAAAATTAATTCACTCGCATCATAGCGTTTTGTTTATTACACTTTTGTTATGTCAAATACGTCAATATTTATTTATTATAAATTAATAATTATTTTAAGTGATCAATGAATATATTATATGCTTGTTAAATTCATAAAAAAGTGCAAATTCAACACGGGAATATTGTGGAAATAAATATTTTTTTGCATAAAGATCTGATTTTTGACATTTGCATTTCATTTCAAATTAATTATAACTGTCAAAATATTTTCTTTTGGATCGAAATTTAATATAATATGATATAATATTTAGTTTGTCTAGTTTGTTTTTGTCAGATTGCAATGATACCTTCAGATTGTACTATTCCATTTAAGAGGTTACAATTTTCTGTATGATTAACGTTTGCGATGGCAATCAAAATTTATCTCAACTCATATAATAATAATATTTTATTTTAATTACACAAATTTCTTTACACTTCGATAATTAATTCCAACGCATGATGCAGGTGTTTTGTTTATTTTAATTTTGTTTATGTCAATTTTTTTTAAAATTAATGAATAAATCATCAGGTTTCAGTCTAAATTAACAAATCAGTATCTTCATCTGAATATACAATTTTTTATATAAATATTTGATTTTTTACATTTTCATTTAATTGAAAAATAGTGAATGTCAATTTCATATATTCAATATGCAGTATATTTGTAAATGTCAAAATATTTCCTTTTTGGTCGAAAATTAATATATGATATTTATTTTACAATATTGTGTTGTATCTATAATTTGTTCGGCAATATAACTTGGAATAATTAATTTATTTGTTTCTTATTGAAGTCGTTAAACATTTTTTTGTGAAATGTCAAATTTTTGTTTATGATTAATTTTAAATTCAATATGTCGCTTTTTTATTGTGATCTCTGATCTGTAAGGTTTTGATGAAGTTTTGGTATCCGAAATAATTTGGTAAGCTAATCAAATAAATATAAATTGTAAATCTATTTATATAATTATTTTCATAAATTTTGACAAATGACATTTGACGATTTTCATTTATTCAAATTTATAAACATTGACTTTTAATTAGATTTAAAACTATAAATTGTTTTTTTTTTTTTTTTAATTTTTATTTTCAATAAAACTATAAATTGTGATTTTGAATATAGCATTTCATCTAATTTGGATATAAATGTTGGATATATCTATATATGTACATGTTTTTGAATTATATTTTCTGAACTGTCAATTTTTGTTTTTCAAAAATCATAAATCTTTTTTTCTCAAATTTTCCATAAATTTTGACATTTGTCAAAAATGGATCAATGGATCAAAATGGATTTTTAGTGTTTTGTTTTTTTTTTTGGCCATTTTCTGTCAAAATTTTTTGAAAATATTTATTTTACAATATTGTTTTGTATCTATAATTTGTTAGGCAATATTTTCTGTAACATAACTTGTAATAATTAATTTATTTGCGTCTTATTGAAGTAACTCGTTAAACATTCTTTTTTTTATGAAATGTCAAAATTTTGGTTATGATTATTTTTAAATTCAAGTGCCGCTTTTTAATTGTGATCTCTAATCTATAAGGTTTTAATGAAGCTTTGGTTTCCGTAATAATTTGGTAAGCTAATCAATTAAATCTAAATCATAAATCTATTTATATAATTATTTTCATAAATATTGACAGATGACATTTAATTTTTTTTTTCATGTCAACATTTATTTAAATTTTTAAGCATTGATTTTTAATTAGATTTAAAACTATAATCAGTGATTTTGTATAAATGTTGGATATTTCTATATATGTACATGTTTTTGAATTTTATTTTTTGAAATGTCAATTTTTTTTTTTCAAAAATTATATATCCAAATTTCCTTTAATTTTGACATTTGTCATTTTAGTGTTTTGTTTTTTTTTTGGTCATTTTCTGTCAAAATTTTTAGAAATTTATAAAAATTATATATTTATATTTCAAATTTACTTTTCAAAATTTCCTATTGGCTATGTGCGAAGGCATGGAAGGGGAAGTCAAATCGACCGAAGCGTTCGTAGTGGCTAACTTGGAGCACTAAAAGGGGCTATTATAAACAAAATTTTAAACAAAAACACATAAAATATTTATTTATTTCAAATTTAAATAAGATAAAAAATGAGCCATCATAGCTGTTCTGTAGTGGGCTGTAGAAATACCAGCAGAAAAAGTGACTGCAAATTCTATACATTTTCTACAGCTAAGTGGAAAGAAAATCAACGGGAAAAGTGGATCGCAGCGGTTAGAAGAATAAAGTAAGTATCATAACCTTATTGTTATAAAAATACAATTCGGAGTATTATGAATAGTTGTAAAATTGTTATGTTTAGCAAAAAGAAAAATTATAAGTCAATAAATTGTTGTATTATCAAAATTTAATGCTTACTAAAAAAATTGTTTTGTAAAACAATGTAATTAATACAAGCCTGAAATAATGAAAAATACATATTTATATATTGTATATTGATTATGTATAACTATTATCTATATATTAATTACATTTTATTATATAATAATTGTAATTTTATGATTAAAAGAAAAATAAAAGTTATCACATAGCGAAAAAATGTTTATTTTGCAAACAGTTTAATTAATACAATGCTGAAATAATGCGAAATATATATTTGTAGTGTTGATGGATCACCGTGGGTTCCCAAGCATTTGCAGTGAATCGGTCGAGGTATTGAGTCCTACCTACTTGTCAACAATATTTCCTTCAATAAGTTAATTTCGAAAAGTTAATATAGTTTTTTTCCTGCAATTTTATTTGATGGGTCTTGTCTTTATAATAATGTCTAAATTATGTCTTTATAATAATGTCTAAGTCTTTAGTTTGACCAAAAAATTGAATAAATTAATTTACTATTTACTTATTCTATTGATAAAATATTATTTATCATTATTATATTGTTTTTATTAAGAACTATTCCGAGTTTATGACATAAGCTTTGAGGCACTTAACCTTACAAATATTTACTGCATTTCTTTAATTAATTAATCATTATACTTAACAATGTTTTAAGTACGTTGAAGTAAATTTAATAATTTCAA